CAGCCTGCTCGAAGTTTCTTCCCTCTTCCTCGTGGGCGGCTGCGACGATGTCGCGAAGACGCTTGGCGCTGCCGAGGAACCTGTCGACCTCCACACGCGAGCCCTGAGCCACGCCCTCTTTCGGGTTGCTCCTCGGCGGGTCTTTCGAGACAACTGGCATTGCATTTTGTCAAGCAGCTCCTCCAAAGATCAATCTGAAAAACATCTCCAACGACGACTCCAAAAGTAAAACCACAATTGAAATGACCTCCAGCCCCTGTCGCCCCCTTTGAACGCCGCGCTTCTGTTCAATCGGATTCTGGTTCTCCGGCCCACGAAGCCCGGGCCGCCTCCTCTTCCGGGCCATGGCATTCGGTTCTGCCAGGCTTCACTTGGGCAATCTTACAGTGGCTCGTGGCTGCTGCTGATGATGATGAAGAAGAAGATGATGATGTTCGTCTTCCTCATTCTGCAACCTTGAGTTAAATTCAGAGTAATCTAGGTCTAGTATAGGTACGACAGCAATCGGAAGCTCCTCCTGCTCAAGTTAGTCTTGCATCTCTGCATGAAGGTCTCGAGACAAGAAGCTGCGGACCCAGAAGGCACATCTCCGCACCCGCACAAGCAAAGCTCCCAGGGAGCCAAAGCAGAGCCAGAACCGAGTGCTTGGCCTGCCCCGAGACAGGGAGTAGTGAAACGAGAAATTGGAGGTGTGCCTCACAGAAAAACCCCCCACGACGGGCAAGCACAGTCGTAGGATGGCACCCGGGAGCCTTCTTCTGGCCCATAGAACTTTGTCTTTGTCCCCCCACCTGCAGCTCATGAGCTTAAGGCTCCCAAGCAAAGATGATGGCTGCCTTCAGCTACGTTGAAGAGATGGCTCCTAGAAGAAGAAGCCTACTCTTTTGACGCCTAAGCCTCGGGCACGTAATGATGTTTGTGAAACTCCGCCAACCATTCCAAGAAGAGCTGCCGCTGCATCAGGGGCTCGGAGAGCTCCTCGGCAAGTGGACTTAGGGTTTAGGCTTTGGGGTTTAGGGGTTAGGGTTTAGGGTTCTTCTTGAGCTTTCGGTGGGGAGGGCTGCAGTAGTTAGGAGCGTTCAATTGGAAAGGGAGGGGGCTTTCTGTTATGTTAGTTAAGGATGGGGGCGTTTATATTGAAAACCACAGTAATCAGGGATGTCTTTTTTTTTAAAGTGTATTGGCTCTTTATCCACTCCGCAGGAGCAGGTCTCGGGCCTGCCTGGTCGGCTTACACTACAAAGAAAACTCTCAGATCGTTGCCCTCATTGATGTCCAGGCCACTTTCAAGAGAGATGCAAAACGTCACTGATCACGGCTACGACTTCGCTCAGGGATGTCTATACAGTGAGGATCCGGAGCTAGGAAAATAAGACTTCCTTCAGTCGTATTGCTTACGTGTTCTTGGCAAAGTCATTCAGTGCGGAAAGACTCGGAAGATCAGCACTACGGTCTTGACCCGTTCGCACTTAAAAGCCGAAGTCCTTCAAACCAACACTTATCCCGATACTATTATAAAAATGTATATCCGCCGAGGCCAGAGGCCCAGGCGTCTTGGGTTACCTCAGGTACCCTCCACCTAATCCTCCCCCTTGAGTCGAAATGTTTGGAGACACCCGTTTTTTGCGTTCGTTTGCCACCCCCTTGCCCGGCTTCCCCTCATTTTACCTGATTTGTCGGCCTCCCCCCCTCGCAGGCCTCCCCCCCCCTCCCCCCTCTCCCCCCTCACCCCCCCCCACCCCTTCCCCCCCCTCCTAGCATAAAAAAACATCGACTGCCCCCTCGCCCTGCCGCTACACAGCCGAGGCGGGCGGCGTAGCGTTAAAATTATATGAAGTTGTATATAATATGTTATGTAAGTTATGTATATACACATGTATATATGAAGAACCCTGAACCGAGATCGAGGCCCCTCCATCGAAAAGCAGCCTGAAGGCATGCCGGTTATCAAGAGATGTCGGGTCCAGCATTGATTGTGGGCGCATAAGTTAGGAAGGGCTAAGCAGGTACCTGGATCCGTCCGCAGGGGTTTGCATTGGAATCAGCTTTGGGGTTCCAGCTTCAGGAGAACCCCGGCCTGCAGTTGATGACTCGAGTAAGGCTCTCAGATAAGCCGCAAGACACAAAGACCGGACCACTCCGAAACCCGACGCCGGAGTTGGTTGGAGTCTTCTTACAATTCTTATTGTAAGTCTTGTTATCATTCGTATTATTGTTCCCCCCCTTTTCCATATTATATGGATTGGGCTCCCCCACCGTTCTTTACCATCGTTTGGCTTCATCTACAGAGCACGAAGCCGAACCTCGCCGAGGCTGCCGAGCGCAGGCGCTCCACGAAATCGGCTTCCTGCAAGGAAGAAAGGCAAGGGTCCTTGCCCCTATATGGCAGCAGATTAGAATAGAACAGAAGAGAATAGGGTAGGATAGAATAGAGCATGACATGGAATGATGTAGCACAATGCAACAGAATAAAACAGAACTGAGTAGTATAGAACATAGTAGAATACATCATTATAAACATGCAACCTCTCTTCATGTTATATATATATAGCTTAGACATGACATGACTTTACATGACATAGTACAACTTAACGTGAACATGACATAAGGTGAAGTAAAATGGTGTAAGGGGACGTAAGACATGTAGGACGTATAATACAACATGATGCACGTTTGTATAACACGGTACAAGACGGAATAAGATGGTCAAAGGAGATGTAAGATGATGTAATACATATGGTACAATATGATATAATCTGATAATTCATGATTCAGCCTCCTTCCATGTGATAGACTATAATGCGCTGCGGTTTCATATGCTACAATATGATAGAACATGGTACAACATGCTGTCATGTGACATAGTATGATGTGTTATCGTATAACATGATAAGTTATGATATGCTAAGGCATAATATGATATCATCATAGCGTGAGACGCACCAACAGCGAACGCAGCAGTCACGGAGCAATGGAGTAGTGGGAAGTTGGGCTGCGCTGTTTCAACGGCCGTGATCATTGATAGCCTGCTCTCAAGATAGCACGTGGCTCCAGAAACTACGAACTGCACACACCTCGACACACAATGTCCTCCTATGCGAAAGCACTGCGAGTATGAGAAGTCATCGTCACCGGCATCATCGTCATCATCATATGGCTGACCAGTCCTACGATTCTGGCTTCGGAAGACTCCCGTGCTGTGTCGAATCCAGAAAGGGAGACCTAAGCTTCCACTCCTCAAGCACACGCCGGATGCCGAAACATCCTCCAAAGTTTCAAACCCCCCATCCTCCCGCATGAAGAGAGGGCTTGGCATCGAGAAAGCATCCAAGGAGCTCAGCACCGACCTTAATGGGGCATTGGGGGGGTGGGGGGGTTGGGGCTCTTGTAACTGGGGTGAGGCTTGGGGTTTGGAACGGAAGAGATTTAGGATATGATGTTCTTGCGACTTCTACAAGCTGCAACCCCAACCTATCCCCAAGCACTGAACCCTAAACCCCCCACTTCCCAACCTGCAGCGCTAGGCAGTACCGTGAGCTCCCGGCGCCAGGACCACGGCATCGGCCATGAGGCCGAAGTGCGCACCCAGCCAGACGAGCCTGGAGAGCCTCGCTTGAGAGTCGACGCGCTTTTTCCAGAATGCCAGAATCCCTGCGCTTACACAACGACCTCCTTGGGTTCCGGGCTTCAGGTCGAGGGGAAGCTGCAAGCACAGTCGCCCCAAAGCTGTGATGTACGCGTCCTGCAGGGTGCATCCGAGCATGCAGCAACCACAGCCACACTCCGATGCAAAGCCGAGAAGTCTCGGCCTCTTCCGCGTGCTTTGGGGGTGATGTTTGGACTGGTCTCGGGATGAGCCCGCAAGCACTCTGCTGGCATACTGACCCTTAGCCTCAACCCTAAACGCTAAAGAAATCCTAAACCCCAAAACCTTTCAAAACACATAGAATCCTTGGGCAGGCGTGCTGCCTGGAACTCAAGAGCGCTTATAAGACTATGGCGCAGGACGTAGGCCCCCTGCTTCTCATAATACCCCGCCTGCTTTGCTTTTCGAAGTCCGAAGATGTGCACAACACCAAAACCATGCCGAGAGGACGTTTATGAAAGTCGGGAACTCCGAGAGATAGGTCGGGGTGATCCCTGCCCTTTATCGCATGGCACAAACACCCGCCCACACAGCCTAGAACATTCACCCTCAGAAAACCATCCTAGAGTCCCTATAATGTAGTGCATACTCACATGCTATATTTGATGCAGTATACTCCACACAGAACCCCCACATATGAATGAATGTATGTGTGTATGTGTATGCAGACACATACATACATACATACATACATACATACAAACATACATACATACATGTATAAAGCTTTAGATATCGATGTAGATGTAAACTTAGATACAGGTTGAGCTTCAGATAGAGATACAGATAGAGATACAGCTACAATAGAGATAGAGATAGAGATAGAAACATGGGTAGTGTCAAAATCACGGTCCCTTTTTGGGTGCCCTAAATATTAATTAGGTGCCGTAATATACTAAGGACCCTAACTTTGAAAACCACCCAATACAACTCTCAGTATCCCCCAACTTCCCAACCTCCGAGCACTCGGAGATGGCGCCCAGCTCGGCATTCCGCTCCCGAGCCAGCTCCACGTTTTTCAGATCCGGCGCCTTTTCGAAAGGGATCACTGGGTTCAGGGTTTATTAGCTTTTTTTCAAAGCGGGCTCAGGGTTTAGGGGTTTAGGGTTTTGTGGGGGGTTGGAAAGGGTCGTCGTCGTCGTGTAGACTTCGTGATACCCTGATCAAAACGCCACGCTCCGTCGGAGCCGACCAACTTCATGTCTTTCTAGCTTCGATGATTCGGGCAGTCGGGAAAGGTGCAAGGTTGGAGCTCTAAAGTCTTCTGATTCTGGGCAGGCGGATGCGCATTTTCGGACCGGTTCGACCATGAAACTACTGTCAGACTTGCACGCTGCGCTGAAGCTTACTCGCTTCAGACCGCCACGGCTGTGTACTTACGGCATATTGCCGCATACGGCGAGAAGTTGGTGAAGCCGGACACCACAGACACCTTTGGCGTCGGGGCCTCGGTCTTCTCACTCCTCATCCACTTCCCGATGCTCCACGGGAAGCGATTTCCCGCAACAGCTGCAGCCGCTGCAGCTTCCTCCCTCTTTTTCTTCTTGAGGGCGGCAAGCCGCGACTGGCAGCGTCGTTCCTCCGCCTGTTCAGCCTGCTCCTGCCGAAGTTGCAGCATAACCTTTTCAAGGTTCCGGAGATGCACTCCATACTCGGCTTCAAGCTCCCTGATGCCTTTTCTCTCCGGAAAGCCAGTTGCCGGGATGTCGACTTTTGACAACCTCTCTTGGTGTGGGATGTGGCCTGTGGCCAACCGCACTGCTGAAGGGATAGGCATGATCGAAAACAACTCCAAGCCCTCATATGACAGCTCCAGTTCGCTTAGGGCTCTGCCTGCCTCCTCCTCGCTGTCATCCTCCTGCTCATCTTCGCTCCCAGTGTTCATGGCGAACTTCCTCGGCTCGTCCTGCTCCTCCTCCGACATCTTGGCTGCCATGACCTCCGCCAAGACCTTTCGCTCCAGCACTTCCTTTAAGCGCTGCTCGTAGGTCTTCACTTCTGCCCGGAGAGCAGCCACCCTGTCGGACTCGGTCTTTAGGACAACAACGAGATTTGCCTTCTGCCATTTGCACTGCTCATCTTCTTCTTTCATCTTCCTGGCCAGCGCCTGCTGGCCCTGCTTCTTGCGATCCTCATTGCGCTGATTCTGAGCACTCAGGATCTGCTGTCGGAGTCTTTTCTCCTTGGCAGACAGAGCCGCCAAGCGATCCTCGTCCCGCGAATCGGCTTGCGGGGCCTCTCCCTGCATCCGCAGCCGGTGCAGCAGCTTTCGTTGAAGTTCAACTCCAGCCACCATGACTACTCTTGCCTCGGATGAGCCAAAAGTGCTGAGCATGGCAAGCACTGTCTTTTGCCAACATGCCACCCACCGCTGAAGTGCGACAAACACAATTCCTGCCATGAAGCTACTGCTACAGGTACTGCTAATGCTGATGCTACGTTACCAGCAACGTCATACTGCAAGCCTTAGTTGTTTTGCAATCGCTGCTACTGCGTGCCAGGCCATCTACCGCGACGAATGCTGAAGCCCAAAGAAGTACTTCTTCTACTTCTTCAACTTCTCGCCCTCCTCCTCATCCTCCTCCTTCTCCTGTTTGCGGCTTTCTACTTTGGAATAGCGGAAGCCTGCGGGGGAAACTCCCAGCGTGCCAGGCGCCTCGGGCATCTGTGCCAGAAGCTGCGCTGCCTGCCGTGGCCTGAGACGTAAGGAAGACGAAATAAAACAAAACATACACAAGATCAGACGGTCTTTCGAGCATGACAACCGCAAAAGGCCCCAGAAAAGCCGAAGCCTTCCGTCTCTCAGGCCGACACACGCCAGGCCCGTCGAGGCTCCTCTTACCAAGAGGGTCCATGTATATGGGAGGTTCCGAAAAACAAGGGAGTCTATGAGGGTTCCCTAACAAAGGGATCTATGAGGGTTCTATTAAGGGTTTAGGGTTTAGATAGGCCGAAAAAGAAGGGGTACCCCATTTTGGGGTCCGTATGATGAGGATATTTAGGGTACCATATTAGGGTCCCCTATTTTGGGAAATTCCCTGTTACACTCAACCAGGGCCCCAAAACCATAACACCACTATAACACCTTGAAAGGGGTCTCCAAGGGCTACTGTAAGGGATACCATAAGGGATACGATAAGGCTATAAGCGATACTGTAAGGGATACCACAAGGGATCCTATAAGGGATACTATAAGTTCTTTTTTGTCAATAATGTGTTTTTTTGGAGGATCGTCCTGCCCAGGCGCTCCGACAGCTGCTTGGCCTGGGGAAACAAAGGGGGGGAAGGGACTTAGGAGGAGAGCAAAGTTACTTTGAGGAGTTTCGGTGCTTTAGCAGGGTTTCGAACGAATCCTTTAGAAATCCTTTAGAGTTTAGTGTTTAGGGTTTGAGATACCCACCCCCTAACAGGGGTGGGGCAGTGAGGGGTGGTTCGGAAATGAGTCCGGGTCCATTCCTGCGGATGCTCGTCTGTTGGGGGGTGGTTGACCACTCTCACGAGGACCATTGCTGCTGGTAGCAAGATGTAGCACGTACTACCATGCAAAAGCTACGGAGCAGGAAGCTGTCACATGATGTCAAGAGCGGGGCTGATGTTTACCCCCACCACCCCACCCTCACAGAAATGAGCCGGGAGAGTCTCTAGAATGTGCCGGGCCGAGAGTCACTACCACCCCCAAGGCGCATTGTTAGGGGGTGGGGATGGTTTGAGGGTTTAAAGGCGTTTTGAGCGGCCCTTCCGGTCGGTTGGGGACTGCGGAGGCTGCAGGTTCAGGGTAAAGGCTGAAGGTTTTATGGTCTTGGGAGTTTCAGAGGTTACGGGAGCTGCATTTAGGGTCCACTCAGGGTTCTTTATTGGGACAAACCTATTTTCTGAAAGTGGCACAACAGAACATGCTTCAGGCCGCATTACGAACACGGTAATGCAAGCAGGGTGTGGGGCTTGGATCAGGCTTGTGGGTTTTTGTTGAAGACTCCGTTCTGCCTCACGCGTCGGGATGAGATCCAGGGTCTTGGTAGGTTTCAAAACCTTGCGATGGTAGGTGATCGGTTTAGCTCCCACCAGTGTCCAAGGAGCCTGAAGGTAGAGCCGGTCCAAAGACAGGGACCTGGCAGTCACTTTCGAAATCCGAACACCATTCTAATCTCACCTGCGAAAAGCACAGACCATATCTTGATCGTGGAATCTCCACGAGGCCAGATGCAATAATTCATGACTACATCAAGCAGCGAGAGAATCTGCGGCTGAGGTATTCAAGGCACGTCAGTGCCTTACCACTACCACATCCTCCACATGGACAAGACTCTCGTGCAGAAAGGAACCCGTACAAAGGGCAACGGTGCAGTAATAGCTGGTCCAGTGGTGATGCAACGGCCATAGCCCACTATAGGACTAGCGAGTAGTCAACACTCGGCCGTGGTGCATCGACTCCGGGGGCTCGAAATCCGGCATGGCGCTGGCATGGAACCTCAGAACGCCCAGGTTGAGAGCAAGCACAAAACAAGCAAGAAACAACATAAACGGACAACCGCAACAGGGCTTTAATGCACTATGGTTTATGTTCACCTTTGCTTTCATTGAACTCGTCACGAATATTGGTGGTAATGGCATTTAGATCATTCAGCATGGCGACTATTCTTCTTCCTGTCACTATTGCAGTTGTTGGTGGACCCCTGAGTGCCGGGCTGCTTCGGATAAAGCCGCAGGCAAATCCCTGGCTGAGTCCGCCCAGCGCGCCTGACACTTTCGTGAGACACACGCATTCTACTATACATGATGAGTGTATATAGATGATTACTTGTTTATTCACTAATATATGTATTTATATAGTACACAGATGCACACTCAGTTTACAATCTATCACTATGGCCAGACACTACAGAGGCAGGAGCACGCTCTATGTAGTGTCTGCGTTACGACAAGTACCGTTGGCATCCGGCACCTGCAAGTGGATGTACCGGACATGCGCTGCTTACTTACCCACCTCGTACCTACCTACCTAGCTACCTACCTACCTACCGTCTGAATGTTCCGCTCAGGTAAGGCATCCATGCGACGCTTTCATCGCTTTCTCAGCAAGAAAGTTCAAGTGCTTTCTTTGGCTTCCTCCGCGCTGTCATTAGACCCGGCAACAAGCCAAGCACACAGTGCCGCTGGGCGAGAGCTACAAGTAGCCGATGCCCTGCGTCCGGAAATATTGCGGCAAGCCAAGCGAAGCACCCGCGTTGAAAAAACATTTCTTCAACGCTTTCGGGGAAAGACCTTGCTTTCAAATCCTAAACTTCCTAGAGCCTATGGGCCTATACCCTGCACCCACCCAAAACCCGCCCAACTCGGCATCCGGCCCACTTCGCTGAGTAGCCGCAGCCTTGGAGATCCTCAGGCCGTCGCAACAGTTCAGGGTTTAGGGGGGTTTAGGGGTTAGGGTTTTAATGGGTTCAGAGATGGGTTTGGGTTTCCGGTTAGGAGCTTGGAGTGCAGAGGTAGTGCTGGCACTGAGCTTGGTTTGCTGGTTTGACGGTACCGAACGCAGGAGCCGAGGAAAAGTCCTGCCACGGAGGCCGACTGCGTGCGTCCTTTCCCACTGCTTTTCCGAATGCACGAGACGACCCCCAGCTGCCAACGGCGCTGCTTCACAACGTCTCCCACCTGAATAGAAGACGCTAAGAATGAAGAACCAAAAGCGCAATCATCCGTGTCCGTAGCAAAAAATAGCCGCGATGGTTTCAGCACTGGACTATTCTGGGCCAAAGCAAGGATGCGGAGCTTTAGTTCGGTCCCAACCCAGAGCCCGGGCCAGCCACCACTTGGTGGCCAGGGAAGCAATGCCCTTCGTCGCATCGTGGTCCATGCCTGCAAGCAGTCTCCGAATCTTTTGGCTCTAGGATACTTTCACGGTCTACAAACTCCCTCCACATCCGAGTGCTGCTACAGTCCATGCTCCAAGCCCCATGCGGCGATGGAGGCCCAAGTCGATGACAGCCACGACCTTGCGGAGGCGTCACATGGGACAGTCCTAGGTCCTAGATGTTCAGGACAACCCAAAGCCCACCTGAAGGACTCGAATCTCTGAAAACCTCGTACGGCAAATGACTTTCGGCTTCGACAACCTGAGACATTACAGAAAACTAGTGTGCTAGAACCTTGGTCACTGCTCCCACTGCAGCACGTCATAAGAAATCCCTGGATTAAGAAACTCAGAATCTGGACGCGGCCGGGTAATATGGCAGACCTATGCGTGGAAACCCTCTGCCCTGGGGACCCCCAACTTGCCCGCGGCTACTGTGGGGCCCTAGTAAAAGTGGGTTTAGGGTTTAAGGTTTGGGGTTTAGGGTTTAGGTAAAGTCTACTTCAACACAGCTTGAAGCGGAACTACACGATTTCCGAAGACCTCCGTTGCACGACCTATTGCCTCAGCTGCACAAGACAATGCCGGCCCCAGGCTTGGGGAAGCCAGGAAAAGGAGACGAGTCTGGTGCTCTTATCGATGGGGCTGAGCCGAAAGACAGACGTGCTACGATGATGACGAGGACTACGAGCTCGACTCCTAGCACTAGCCGTGGTGCTGTAGCGGATGCTGCTGCATCTTGCTAGCCCAGAAGGAAGAGGTTGCTGCTGCTTTTGCTACTGCTGCAGCTGCTTCTGCGCTTCATGAATGTACAACTTAGAGCAGGCTACAAAACGGAATCGAGGCAGACATCAAATGACCCCTCTGAGATGCCTAGCTATGCATCTCTTGGGCATTGGGGGGAACTCCCAGTTCAACAGCTGTGTTCGAGAGAGAGCCCAAAACACGGAGGGTTCCAGCTAGACTTATGAAGCACTGTGCCTTACAAAGCTCAGGGTTCAGGCTTAACGTGAGATGCAGTAATTGCTCGCGCTCTTTTGCTCTTCGCCACACGAAGAGTCCTTCGGGCAGAAACACTCTCGACAGAAACCGATGCTGTGCAAGCAGTAGAAGCACAAGCTCTAATTCCGGTAGAGGCCACACATCAGGACTCTGCTTGCAATGGCAAGTATCAAACACAGTGCACCCAAAACCTGAATAAGCCCTTCAAGCGTCCTCTTCTGCTTCTCGATGACCACCATGCGCGCAGCACTCGTGGCATCGGGATTGTCTATCCTCAGGTCAGCAATCATCATACGGCACAGTTTGGAAAGGCATGGGCATTTTTTGGACACTAGGGGTTCGGAGCTGGCAGATGGATCAAACACCACCACAACTACCACCACACCCTCCACCACCACCCCCTACCATCGCTCTATCCCTACCATTATTGCTTCCTACTGCTGCTGCTGCCACTACCACTACCACTACCACTGCGACAACAACTACGGACTACGACGACGAAGACGATGACTACTACTACGACGACTACTACTCGTACTACTGCTGCTACTACTGCTGCCATCATTACTCACTGAAGCCGCCGTGTCAATGACTGCATCAGTGTCCGGATGATCTGTGAGCACGCCAAGGGAGGTTGTCAGGTATTTGAGACTGGATGCGGCTGTAGCCAGAACAGAGCTGAAGCCGAAGCACCCGTCTCCGATCGTTCGTTCTGTCCACTGTGTGAAGGTCGAAGTGGCAACGACTGATGCCCTCGACCGCAGAAAGTGGAACCTACTACTAGTCTACCACGACTACTACTTCTACTACTTCTACGACTACTGCTGCTACTGCTGCTACTGCTGCTACTGCTGCTACTGCTACTACTGCTACTGCTGCTACTGCTGCTACTGCTGCTACTGCTACTGCTGCTACTGCTGCTACTGCTGCTACTGCTGCTACTGCTGCTACTGCTGCTACTGCTGCTACTGCTACTGCTACTGCTACTGCTACTGCTACTGCTACTGCTACTGCTACTGCTACTGCTAGTACTAGTACTAGTACTAGTACTAGCAGTAGTAGTAGTAGTAGTAGTAGTAGTAGTAGTAGTAGTAGTAGTAGTAGTACTACTACTACTACTTACCCCCCTGGTGCAACGCCCGCGTCGCGCAGCATGTTCATCCCGGGCATCCTGATCATCATCACGGCCCTGTTCCCAAATCGCACTAGACCACGATTGGGTTTTGGTCATGGATGCTCTGTTCCCAAACCGCACGAGACCATGGACACCATTAGGTTTTGGGCATGGATGCTCTGTTCTCAAATCGCACTAGACCATGGACGTCATTAGGCGTTGGGCATGGATGCTCTGTTGCCAAATCGCGCTTGACCATGAGGCTTTGGGAATGGATGCTGTGTTCCCAAATCGCACTAACCACTTGTCATTCACGCATGCTCTGTTCTCAAGTGCTTTCTGTTGGACCGTTCACGAAGGATATCGCTGCATTCTGATGTCTGGTTTTTCGCGATGAACATCAAGGTTAGACACAAAACACCTCGTTCTGATCGCTAGATTTTTGGGCACGAAATCCAGTCCGCAAAAAACTGCCCGAAGATGAGAATATCTCAAAGACGAGTGCTAAAAATACTAGCTTTGGATGCTCAAAAAACAACAAAACAACCAAAACCCCCTGAAACAATGTAAAACACTGCATTTCTAAGACGGCGTTGCACCGCGGGGGCCGAGCCAACTACTGCTACCACCACCACCACCACCACCACGACTACTACTACTACTACTACTACTACTACTACTACTACTACTACTACTACTACTACTACTACTACTACTACTACTACTACTACTACTACACTACTGCACTGCCACACTACTGCACTACTACAGTACTACACTACTATACTACTACACTTACTACACTACTACGCTTACCACACTACCACACTACTACACCACCAAACTAGTACAATACTACACTACTACACTGACACTCCTACACTACATACTGTCATTGCCACCACCACCACCACCACCACAACCACCACAACCACCTACTACTACTACTACTACTACTACTACTACTACTACTACTACTACTACTACTACTACTACTACTACAACTGCTACTGCCAACCTACTGCTGCTACGACTAATAATAATAGAAAAAATCGTATTACAAGTTACTACTACTGCCACTACAACTACTACTACTGCTGCCATCATTACTCACTGAAGCCGCCGTGTCAATGACTGCATCAGTGTCCGGATGATCTGTGAGCACGCCAAGGGAGGTTGTCAGGTATTTGAGACTGGATGCGGCTGTAGCCAGAACAGAGCTGAAGCCGAAGCACCCGTCTCCGGTCGTTCGTTCTGTCCACTGTGCGAAGGTCGAAGTGGCAACGACTGATGCCCTCGACCGCAGAAAGTGGAAGCACTACTGAATCCGCACGCTTGCTTCGGCAGTTGGATCTGGACAGCACGCAGCTGTAGCCTACACCTGCACCTCCTGCTGCTGCTCCTGTTCCTTCTCCCGCCAGTGCCTCTGCTTCTGCTACCCCCGCTGCCACTACTACTGCTCCTGCAAATAGCGCCGCCACCCTGGTACTAATACGCTGTCTACGACGACGACGACGACGACGACGACGACGACGACAAGTGCTATTGCGACAACATGTGATAGTACGTGATGCTGATCGATACACCTGACAATCTGAAGGGGTTCCTTTGGCAACCCTAACATACAACTCTCACCCACCCCGGCCAATTTCAACCACGGCTCTGCTCCCGTTGTGTCAGGGCCAAGGGTCGGCAGATCATTTTTGCAGAATACGGAAACCGCGTGCCTGCAGAACCGAACTTCCGGAAAGGAGCTCTACATATGTCAGCGAGCATGCGTCGTGCTATTCCTCGGACATGCTCGCTGTGGACAGTTATGGACACTTGCCAGAACTACGAGCGCAAGCACACTGAGAAGGCCTGCCAAAGGATAAAGTTTGGACAGCATCTCGTCATCTGCATCAACCGCGGTGTTGTCCGGAGGTTCGTCATACTCGTATAAGACACGATTGACGACGTTCCTGAGCAAGTTCGGTCTTGGAATCAGCGGGGGACTGAGTCTTGCTTCATGACACCACCGATTTCCAAATTCTATCATCGGTCGAAGATGGACTCACACGTCCAAACATCTTTGCTGGGGCTATGTCTCAATAGGAGCACCAATCCAACACGAGTTGGGCTATGTTTAGCTGTATAGGCTGTATAGGGTTCATCAAAACCTCTGACGATCTGTAAGTACATGCTCGCTACAAAGCACATCCTCCCGTGAATCACAGGATGTGACTCTTGCACAGCACACACCGCTTGCCGAGTCTCCGATCATACAGACCTTGACAGATGACCAAACAGCGGCCGCCGATAACCAGAGAGTCCAGAGCGGCTCGCAAAGCCTGCGCCGTGTCCTGACGGCGCTCGAAGTCGAGACTTCCCGGAGCCCCATGCCATCACCAGAGCCTACCCTGATCCTCTGTCTCGTTGTTGATGATGCGCCTGAGGCCGGCCAGCACCAAGGAGATGGATCCGGCATCGCGGTCGCGAGCATCCTGCAGACAAGCGTGCGACGTAGCTCGTTGCTGCATTGAAAGACCTAGGAGATAGCAGAGTCTCCTTCGGTGGCAGCAGCCGCTGCGTGAGGGCCAGGACCTGACTCCCATGAAACGGCTACGAGAGCACCTACCCACAAAAGGCTCACAGAAACGCTGGCGGCCGTCGGGGCGGCCCTCGCCTGATTGATGGTGGTAAGGCCGCCGACACGGCGATGCTCGGAGAGCAGCTCAAAGGCGATGCGGTCGCACATCCTCCAGCTACAGCGGTACTACAGCGGCTTGGGACGGCTTGGAGGTCCAGCTTTGCCACGAAAGTCCCAGAGAAGTCACCAACTAAAGCACTTCGAAGTTGTGGGTAGGCGGTAGGAGTGTGTGCCTTGCTTTCTGAGTGTGGTTCGGGTGCGGTAAGGCTTGGATCTGCACGAGTACATGCCGATGGCTCGCACATGCAACCTTATCACCGAACTCGTGACAGCCGCACTCCTTCAAGCAGAACTTAAGCTCGCTGGACTTCCAAATTACTTGAGCGGCTTTTGACACTTGTGTACCTTCTGTGAGGCTGCGACGGGCTACAATGGTTCTTCTCCTTTTGGCTGGACCACACGACAGCCTGCATGGGCCCTAGACCCTGTGCCTCTCCTCTCGACTTTCCCACCCTCCAACCCTCTGCCAGCCCTTGCCCAAGCGACCAAGGCTCACATCCGAAAACCGGATGTTCTCCCGCAGCAACAGAGAGAGCTCTTCGACGCTTACGGTGTTCAGCCACTCAGAGCACGGCACGCCGGCCTAGAGGCGTGGAGGCTTCGACAACGACAAGGCTTAGAATGGTCTCGGCTTGGCTAGGCCGTGTTTGAAGCTCTGAAATTCTAGAGCGTGGTCAAAGAGGTGTCTTCACAAGGGTTCTGGACGTGCTACAGACAATCAGGAAGACTGGTGCTGATCCTAGAGCGTTTTGTCAATCTTCTGAAGCCTTCCCGTCATAGCAACCCGAACGAAACCGAAACATCCCTACACACTCAAAGCTCCCCTTTTCAACACCTCGCGGTCATAGCGAAGATCCAGAGGCCCTCGCTTGATTCCCCGCCTTGTTACACCATGCATCAAAGTTTTGTTGGGAGTCGGAGGTGCTGCACTGGCTGGAAAGATGAGGATGCTTCTAGCATTCATGTGGTGTGAATAACAACAGCAACTTTCGCAATGACGATGATGGTAGCCACCAATAGCAACGAACAAAGCAGAAGCAGAAACTGCAGCCCGCCCGCATCGAACTGTTAGCAGCATATAAGACCGCAGAATCATCTTATTTCGTTTCGTCTAGACTCTAGACAGCCACCTACATCACCATTGCTTCGATCACATTGACTACAGCTCCTGTCATTTGGAACTTTTGACGATCAAGGAAGAACCCTGGAAAGGACTGACACCGGAGAAAATATCGTTGTAAAACACAAAAGTCCATGGACGTCTTCTGGACAGCACCAGGACCCCGGCGTAGCATCCAGCTTCGAGTCAGTGGTGAAGCCACCATTGATGAGGACGCCTTGCACCTTGTAGGCAAAGTCGGCAAAGTCTGTTGGGTCTATTGAGCCTAATTCGACGAAGACGTTGCACCGCTCCTCCTCATGTCCAAGGAAGGTCGACGGAACATGCGGGAAGGCGAGGGTTTGGTCATACGTGCGCTGATCAGAACAGCACATACCTCAAAGCTTGCAGAGGCCAGCTGCCTCCTGAGGACGAGATGTTGGCAAGAGACTTCTGAGGCCAGGACACGCACATCGCCCAGCACGGCACGAAGCTGCGCGAAGGAGGCTTTCTGCACTTTCAGGCGCGGGTCTCTGCGTGCCAGGCGCTTGGCAACGTTGATGGCCTGGCGGTCCACGTCCAGCGCATAGAGCGTGGAGGACTCCGTCAAGTCCCGCAGCAAGGCCCTGGAATGGCCTCCACGGCCGAAGGTGCAGTCCACGTAAGTGCCGTTGATGCGAGGATACGCGGGCTTTGGGCCAAGCTGGACGTCCCGAAAATGCTGCAGAACGGACATCAAGAAGAGCGGCCGGTGGCCAGCAGAGGCGCCCTCGTCCAGCGCCATCCTTTGGGAACCCACAAGCACCGCTTTCGCTTCCTCTTCTCGTTACTCTCCAGAGCTTCTCTCCCTCCTGAGGTCCTGGGTTGCCACAGACCGGCTGCTGAAGTGCTGGATTCCGACGGCAGGTAAAGTCTAATCAAATTCGAGACTCTGCCTCCCTCCCCCTGCCCTTGACCCGATGCATGACTCTGCTACAACAGCCACGTCTCGAACGGTTGAGGGCATCCCGGTCCACTTGTTTGCTGACTCTTCTGGTCCACTTGTTTGCTGACTCTTCTGGTGTGCGCCCGGCTTACTATTACGTCGCCAACAAGCACTATTCCTTTCTTTCACTAGGCTTGAGGGCGAGCCCCCACGTGGGCTGCCCGTCTGGTGGCCGAAAACACGGTAATACGTGCGATGAACTACAACATGACACTCCGCGGGCTTGTTTCGAACAACAACAAACTATGTTAAGCACTATCTCTCTCTCTCTCTCTCTCTCTCTCTCTATCTCTCTCTGGCCTGTGGTCAGCTTGGAGCCCTTCGCGAATCGCCTCCATCTCGCCGAGATCGTCCACCCACTCCCCGGAATACTGGTCAGCCGTCGGGTCCCGCAGAGGGGCAAGCTGCTTCAGTATGCTTTTGGGGGGCACAGCGAAGCCTCGACAAAGGTGGTGCAAAGAAACACTTGTTGACCCGAACGCTTCTAGAACTCTCTCTGTGTGTGCAAACCGTGCCTGGCCCACAGAACAGGCGAAGCACGACCGCTGCCACCCAAAGTCTCCGCCAACATGGCATTTGCGCGGCTAGTCTCAACTTCTCGTCTTTGGAGAAGGATGCTGAAGTCACTACGATTGTGGGCTGGTCTGGGGCTGAGGGTTTGGAGAGGGCATTGGGGGTCTTCGAGGTCAAGATCCTGTCGGTTTTGGTGCACCTCGTGTGCCCGAGAACTCCAGCGAGCAGCTGATCCGTGAATGTGAAGTTCAATCACCCGGGCCCCAAGCGTGGGGCAAGGTGATGGACGACTCTGCGATGTCCGTGGCCAGAACCACCTCGGAGATGCTAAGACTGCTAAGAGTCGGATCCGGGGATAGCTGATACGAGTAGCTGAAATCCGAGGCACCCGCCCAAACCCAAAGAAGCAGCTGTGCGAAGGGGAAGACGAAGGGGAACAAGCACACTGAGGATCCCGCGTGGGTCACGTCGGGGTCTGGCTCCTCGAACACGAGCTCCTCACCAGGCTTTTCGGACCGGCTTGTGGGACTCAGGAAATTCTGCAAGAGGTGAGAGATGATTCTTGCTTCGTCGTGGTCGTCTTCTGATCACTGTCCGTGAAGGCTTGATCTGCAAGAAGGAGCTTGCTTTGCAGAAAGAGCCAGCTTTGGGAACCTCGTACGTTTCCGTATCCTCCCTCCCCTGTCCAAGCACCCTCCAGAGACAGGCATTCGTGCTGTCAGGACACAAAAATATTGATACAACCACCCTGTGCTTCACCCTGATGCTCAAAGCATGCATCCTCCTATAAGTTGAGCCATCGGTTCGATTCTAAGACCATGTTCTCTTACAAGCACTGCCACACCATTGCTCCATGCTACGCCGACTCCCAGTCCTACTCCTGCTCCTGTATACTGTACTCCTATTGATCCTACTGCTACTCCTGCTCCCTGCTGCTACCAGCAGAACACAGATTCCCTCCCCTTTCCAGGCCCACGCCCGCTTCGATGTTTCGGGCTAGCAGTCGGGCAAGGCGCAAGACAGGAGCTCTGAAGTCTTCCGAGTCTTGGCGGGCGGATGCGCTGTTTTTGGACCGGCGGAAATCTGCTGGTGGGCCATGGGTAAAGCAAAGCAAACTTTACGCACGACCCTATCATGCTTGCACGCTGCGCTGAAGCTTACTCGCTTCAGACCGCCACGGCTGTGTACTTACGGCATATTGCCGCATACGGCGAGAAGTTGCTGAAGCCGGACACCACAGACACCTTTGGCGTCGGGGCCTCGGTCTTCTCACTCCTCATCCACTTCCCGATGCTCCACGGGAAGCGATTTCCCGCAACAGCTGCAGCCGCTGCAGCTTCCTCCCTCTTCTTCTTCTTGAGGGCGGCAAGCCGCGACTGGCAGCGTCGTTCCTCCGCCTGTTCAGCCTGTTCCTGCCGAAGTTCCAGCATAACCTTTTCAAGGTTCCGGAGATGCACTCCATACTCGGCTTCAAGCTCCTCGACTTTTGACGTCGTGTCTTGGTGCGAGATGTGGCCTGTGGTCAGTCGCACTGCTGCAGTGACTGGGAAAAACGAGGACAACTCCAAGCCCTCATATGACAGCTCCAGTTCGCTTAGGGCTCTGCCTGCCTCCTCCTGGTTGTCATCCTCCTGCTCATCTTCGCTCCCAGTGTTCATGGCGAACTTCCTCGGCTCGTCCTGCTCCTCCTCCTGTGTCGCTTGCGACATCTTGGCGGCCATGACCTCCGCCTCCGCCAAGACCTTTCGCTCCAGCACTTCCTTTAAGCGCTGCTCGTAGGTCTTCACTTCTGCCCGGAGAGCAGCCACCCTGTCCGACTCGGTCTGCACGAAACCAACGAGATTTGCTTTCTGCGCCTTGTGCAGCTCATCTTCTTTTTTCATCTTCCTGGCCAGCGCCTGCTGGCCCTGCTTCTTGCGATCCTCATTGCGCTGATTCTGCGAATTCACGATCTGCTGTCGGAGTCTTTTCTCCTTGGCAGACAGAGCCGCCAAGCGATCCTCGTCCGAATCGGCTTGCGGGGCCTCTCCCTGCATCCAAAGCCGGTGCAGCAGCTTTCGTTGAAGCTCAACTGAAGCCACCATGATCCCTACTCTTGCCTCTGATGAGTCAAAAGTGCTGAGCATGGCAAGAACTGTCTCTGCCAACATGCCACCCACCCCTGCACTGCGACAAACACAAATCTTGGCTCCTGTTCTTCTCGGGGCACCATGGAGTGCAGCGGGAAGATCTTGAAGGCGGAGGACTCTTCCAGGAACTTTGCTTCCTGGAATGTCTCGTCGTGGCTTCGGGAGCAAGGCGTTGGTATGGGGTGCAGTTCATGTGATTTTGATTCAAGTGGCGATAGACATTCCCTTGTCAGACTCCTGAAGAGCGCGTTAGCTTGCTTCCTAGCTGAAAAAATTCTCCGGGCTTGGAGTACTACTTGAGGCACGTTGGGGCCTTCAGTACCTTGCAGAGCTCGTTATCGCTTTGGAAGTCTGTATGGCAGCACTGGCTGTTGCAAGCAGGCTCCAGAAAGTCAAGCCAACACAGCAGCCAAGAGCCAAGTGCACCTGCCACAACGAGGAGATCTCGGCGATGCCCGGCAGGAACACCAGAATGGTACTGGCCTGGGCCGCCCGACTTCAAACATGAATCGGGCCCCGCCCTCGGAAGCCCCAACAAAAACCGCTGCCCGGGTGGGCCCCGCGCCGGCTTCGCAATCACCTCCAGGAGCTCCAGGATGATCGGATGCAGCTTGTCACCTTGGCTCTAAAATGGAGCCGAAGTAAGAGCTACTTCAAACCTCCATGGAGAGCTTCTTCTCTTTTGAGCTCACAGGCTTTTCGGGCCGTGAGAGGAAGAGGAAGATTCCAACTCTACGCAAAACCTGCCTCCCCGGCATTCAGAAGGGATGCTGAGTAACGCTGGAAACCCGAAGCTGCGTGCTCCCCACAATCAAGGCCGAAAACTGATAAGTAAAATGCAAGTCTCCTTTAAAAAAAAGTGAGGCTGAAGGTTGAGGGTGATTCTAGGAAGCCGGCAATGTCTCTGGTCAATCCGTTTCGCCTTCTTCTCCCTGCCATCACCGAACATGTCCTGCGCAACTTGCCGAATAGGTCTCTTCAAGCAGGTGAGAATGTAGGATTTCGATGCTAGAATATACACCGAAAATACGACCTGCAGTTGCATCTTCCCTGCCACCACCGCATGCGGTATGTGCCTGTGGAACCGAAAAAATGAAGGTGAGCATCGACGAGGAGAATACTTGGTGGTGCTGCTTGAAAGTCGCCGTGTTAGTGATCACGATGATGATGATGATGGTGGTGGTGGTGGTGGTGGTGATGGTGCTGATGATTTTGATGGTGATGGTGTTGATGATCATGATGATGAGTATGATGAGATGATGACCATGAAGATGGAAATGATGACGGACAATGAAGATAAGACGAGGTTGTGGTCAGAGGTAATGATGCAGTATCGTCTGAGGCCTTCATGCTTTTTCAAGCGCGGCAAACTCAGAATGCGCTTCCGAGACCCGGTATGGTCCTTTGTCCGACTGTTGATGATGCCCTCACACCGCAGCCGCTTTCCCAATGACCGGGACAGCTCCTCGGCTCGCAGAATCACAGTATGGCAACATGAGGACTTCCTGACAACACAAGTTTGTTCCCCCATATTTAACAACATAAAACACTCAAAATACAAATGCCACGACCGAAGCTCGTCCAGGTAATGTTCTCTTACTGGAAAGCACCGGCTGCCAACATGAACGCGGCCCACGGGGTACTTGCAAATGTCACCAAAGTAGTGCGCGAAAAGGTCCGATTGGAGCGTCGCAGACCTCAGGGAAAGCACACAAAAAGGACGATGGGCAAAGCGCTGTCGCGTCTGCCGCATCGGCGCGAAGATCTAAGGCCCCACGCATGATGACGAGCCGCGTGCCCTCGAAACGATGCTTCGCTAGAAGGCGAACCACGAGGCACAGCATGTCGCTCTCTGCGCCTGGGAACCGCCGCACCATCTGAGAACTGTGGGCCTGCTTCACCTAGGACCTAAGACCTAGCTAACACCTGTGCTGAGGCCGGCACTTCGCTCGTGCACCTCATCGAGGACGATGTGGGTGTATTCTCCGAACTCCTGAAGCCGGCAAGCATTGCGCAGCTCAGGCATGAACAGTTGAAGAAAAGCAACACGATCCTCCGGCGCATTGAGGAAAAGCTGCAATATGTACCCGACGGTACAGAAGTCGATGTACTTTCCGCGGCTGCTGTCACCTTGCCCCCAGCATGAGCTTCTCAGTGTGGCCGATTTTTGGGGGGAAAAACGTGATCATCATCATAGTTGCCAACGTGGCGATAGCTTGACTTCTAGCGTCCAGCGTGGCTATCATCTTCCACACTTTCTTTCTGCGTATTGGTGCTGCTGGGGCGAAACCACGAAGGCTTCATTTTGAAGGCTGCGTCCCTCAGCTGCTCCAGTCCTGCAGCCAAGAGGCCGCCGATTCTGTAGCCCACCGAGTCGCCGAGCTGCTCGCCTCCAGGCCGACCACCACCACGACTACGGCTGCTGCTGCAACGACGACAGCTGCTACTGATGCTACTGCTACTACACGCGGCACTGGCAGGTGCCTGTCAGGATATTAGAGCAAACGGAGGATAATGTGCCTAGCTCTGAAGCCACCCGGTGCGCCAAGTTCAGCGCGGCCACACGCCGTGGCTGCGTCCTCACCGCGTCAAAATCAAAACAATAACCTGCTTCGCGTTTCTAGTACCAGGGGGTTTGCTGTGCAGGCACAGACACCATCGAACCGCATTTCCCCCTAAAGGCACTTAAGATGCAGCGGTCACAGCGATGCGAGCGAAACTCCCTCGCTGTCTTGCCTGCGAAGCGGGCGGAGTCGAGGCTCTCTCGGAAGAAATGATTCAGCAAAATATTGGGATTTCTGCTGCGACATATAGGCCTACGGGAGGGACGGTGGGAGCTGGCTAAAATTGAAAACAGTCTGCAGCGACCATGTGATCCAGGTGTCACTGGAACCTGTTACATACGTGTTTGATGTTTGTGAGTCCCTTGAAGCCGCTTGCCCATCGCTAGTTGGCGCGAGGTGCGACAAGCCAGTAGACGAAAGAGCTTACTGAAGCAGACAACCTTTCTGGGGTCGAGTGCCTCTCAGTAGGTAGTGGCCATGTGAGAGTTTCCGAAAATCAGGGGTACCTTATTCTGGAAGGATCCTACTGTTTAGGGTACTATATTAGGGGCCCCTATTTTCGGAAACTCCCATGTGTATCCCCCTTTCGGGTGCCGACCGGCCCGCCTCTTCGAGGATCATCTGAGGCACCTGAACTAAGCTTGGAAGCGGCAAGATGAAGGATTCTCAGTTTCAGGGCTTGTTTTTATAAATGGTTTTTTATAAAAACAGTTTTTATAAGAACAATTCACCGAATGAAGGATTCTCAGTTTGAGGGCTTGGGGATCACGCCAACGGATGCATCGCAATGAAGGGCTCCGAGTCAGAACTTAACGGCTTGCAGGATCTGCCCCGGCCGGGCCTGAGTGGACTTGCCGCTGCCCGTCTCGCCGACGAGGCAAACGACAAGGGAAGCTCCGCAAAGGACGGGCATCACCTGCACCGACTCGAAGCTGAATGGATTCTCCGGTGCAAGGGCACGGCCTCATCCCTCTTCTCCTGGATGGGCAGCACTTTCTTGACCTGGAATTCAACGTCGACTTGACAGCTCATGGCTTCAGAAGTAGGAGCTCACCGCTTCTCACACAGGCCGGCAGGATACATGCCTCAGGATGAAAGCTACATGTCAAGCCTGAGATCATACTACCTCTGCAATCTTGCAGCAAACAGCCCGCCCTGAGCTCAGACCCAAATCATCGTAATATCGCACTCGCGTAGGTACTGCCTTTCCCGCATCTGAAGTCCTACGCATGTTCCTTGCGACTGAAAGAGATCGAGCCCCTAGTGACTTCGAGATGTTGCTACACTTGTCTTCGTCTGTTTGTATTAAGATGCTTGTGTCACTGTTTAATACTGCTGACAAACACTGGCAAATTGCAGTATCTCAACAATGAGGCCTGCCTCAACTTAACTGTTTCATACTGCCCACAAACACTGGTAATGTCTGGTAGTTTAGTTTGCGGTATCTCAACCTGATTTTTTCAGCCCTCACCGCAACGCCCCGACGCGCCTGGGGCTCATGGCTCCATTCGTAGGCACGCTTTTTTTCTACAACCTCGCGGACGTAAGACGAATATCAAAAGAGCAGCATTATATTATACATATACATATATGCTATGTATAGTATACTCTGGCAGGTCCCGGCTCAGGTGCGCGAAGGCCGCAACAGCCGGCCTTGTCGGAGTACAAGCCGCCTTGGCCCTTGCCTCCGCCTTTGAAAGGCCGACCGCGGGGCTCCATACCTGGAGCTTCGGAAAGCCAGTTGTGAAGCAACCGTGGTTACCTGGAGCACCCCGAAAAGTGCAAAGGAACTTGAAAGAAAGCCCCAAACGAAGCATCTCGGAGCACTCGAGCTGGCCGGGCCGCTTCGCCGCAGCTGGGCCGCCTCTTGGGGATAGTCTTGGGACCCAGGCTTGTTTGGGCGAGCTTTGGCTTTGACAATGACAGGCAATGCCGGAGCAACTTAAGAGGAGGTGATGACTCAATGTCTGAACTGCTCAGCAATTTACTTCGCATCTGCACCCGCCTGGCTGATGGAGGGCGGGGGGCTTGGCTGAGTGGCCTGGCATGGGAGGCAACCCACAAGATACTACGGGCAAACAGTTTCGGGTACAGTAAGCTTAGGATTCATGGTTGAGCTGATACCTTTTCTCCGAAATCTTGCAGACTGGCGTGATTTGCCGTGGCACTGTGTCTTGGTGGCATTGCGGCGGGCCTCTGCAACTTCCCTCCAGGGAGGCTCTGCAGGCTCTGCAGGCCTCGACAGGACGGACTCCGACCCTTTCGGAAAGCCTGGGGCCCGAACAACTCGGCAAAGGAAAATACCGTGGCAGGGCCTTTTCACAGCCGGCCGGACCTCAGCACAAAGCCAGACAGCTACAGAATCCTGGCATGTGCTGGGGGCAGTAGTCACTTAGTTCACAGGTACCAACAATGGCAGCATGTGGGACACAAACGTCGCCCCCCGAGCATCGCACCTCGGCTCTCTGAGGCCTCACGGCTTGCGGCCTCGGAGACTTCCGGGTGAAGAGGCTGCGAAGATGGAATAATCAGCCCTCCAGGGTTGCGCCCGCTGGCGCGTCACGATCGCACACCCTGCACCACCCTGAAAGTATCTACGACAGATACCCGGGACCCTACATGCACTTCCGTCACCGGGTCTCTCACTTTGCTTTGGGGATGGACGGCACCGCCCCGGGCCGAGGCACCCTTGCCAAACAGGAAGGGTTGACTTTGGGGTGAGAGCTTGACTGAATTGTTCAATGTGTTGGGGCTTTTGGGTGTTTGCTTTTCGGCTTTAGGCTTTCGGGGTTCAGGGCCTGAGGCCACCGGGCTGGTTTAAATGCCGGACGGTCCCATTTGATTTTGAAGACCGCGAGTCTATCGGCTCGCAAAAAACATCATTCAGCAAGTGTTTTTGCACAGCTCCCGTCGAGGGTGTTCTCGCAGCACATGCTGCCGAAACAAAAACCTCAATAGAAATATCATTACCAGAGGAACCAATCAGATACTTCCTCGAATTCAACCATCACTCCAAAAACTCCCGTGTTCATGTAAGCCTGTATAAACAGTGAATGTCTCCCGCGGCCCTCCAAGCCTGGCTTTGGGCTGCGGGGCCGGCACGGAGACGCGAGAGGCGCTGCCACGCAAAGTGGGAGCCTCAGCTCAAGCGCTGGTTGCAACCGGAGAGCTTCGAAAGAAACCGGTGCCATACTGTTAGGAATGACAGGCGAGACCGACCCTTCCGGAAGTCAGTAAACACCATAAGTCACGACCCGGAAAGCGCAAACACCATGTAAACGCATGGGCCAACGTGGCACAATCGACTCCAAATCATTATCATATCTGTTGCTTCCGCCATTGAACGCTGGCAATCCAAAGTCGCCAAATTCATGCGTTGGTAAGGTCTGGAACGTGCAAACACCATGTAAACGCATGGGCCAACGTGACACAATCGACTCCCCATCATTATCATGTTGGTTGCTTCCCCCATTGCCAAATAAACGCGTGGGTAAGGTCTGGAACCATGTAGGTGCACGGGCCCTATCGACTCCCATCAGTATCAAATGTGCTCCCCGAATTGAACGCTGGCAATCCCAAGGTCGCCAAATGCAGGCATTGGGTAAGGTCTGGAACGAGCAAACACCACGTAGACGCATGGGCCAACGTGACGCCATCGACTCCCAATCATTGTCAAATTTGTTGCGCATTTGGCACAACATAATTGAACACCCGACCTGCTAGAGTGAGAACATCGTCCGTGCCATCAGCGGGACCCAACCGTCCCAATAAGCTGAGTTCAGGCGTCGTACTTCAACCGACATGGGGGGCCATCCCAGCTTACCGATAACAGCTTGTCCTGGAGCCCCCCGAGGCCAGAAGGTCTGGTCCGGAAGACACTGCCCAGTTCAGACTTTTACGGTTCACAGTACTCTCTGTGCCTCACTTACACACACATGCACACGCGCACACATACACACACACACACACTCTCTCTCTCTCTCTCTCTGTTTGCTTTGCTAGGGGCTTGGAGCGGGAGCAGTCCTCTCTGTTTCTTTCTCCGGGCCTGAGGGCGAGCCCCCGCGGGAGCCGCCCGTTTGTTGGCGGAGTGCATGTGTAGTACACGCAGAAAGGCTAGCTCTCCTCGGCGACTCCCGGTATTATCGTATCTCTGTAATGCCCCGAAGTAAGACTAGCTGCAGTTATGGTCGCCCTGTTGCCATCTGTACGGTGTGGGTTTTCCACGTGTGCCCCGGAACTCGGGGTGGCACTCTGAGGAGGCTGTCTACTAGAGTGTGCCCCTGAGTTCACAGCCGGCTGCATTGAGCCACACAAAAGGTCGTGTGGAACTACATGTTACCTGTCCAACTGCATGTGCAACCCTGGGCTTCACTCTGGTGTATGCAGGACCCCGTTGCCCCGCCTACTTCAAGGTACTAGTGCCCCGTCACTGAGAAAACACATCAGTGCAAGAGTACGGTACGCATCACAGGACACCGGGCTCGGCTCCTCTACCTTACTTTAGTGTGTCAGGCACCCCGCTGGAGGATGGAAGACAATGCAGTGGAAGACTACGATGCAGATCATAGGACGCGGGGCCCGACACTTTACTGGGTTGCGCTGTGGCTGCCGCCCCGCCTGGGTACGGAAACAACTGAGTTCACTCTCTGTTTCTCGCTCTCTCTCTTTCTTTCTCTCTTTCACGACGTTTGGGCCAGAGGGGGTAACCCCTCCAACCCTGCGCGCCAGCGCTACGCCTAGTGTTCAAGTTCGGTCTGCGTGTGAAACGTTCTGGGGGTTTCTGAGTCGAGCTGGCACAGGTTGGATCCCCTCCTCGATCATGCAACTAGGTCACCTTAGCAACTAGGTCCCAAGTCTGCTGCCCCGCCTTGTCCAGCTCGCTCTTGTCGACCCCCACTCGTTGTGTTTATGTACTGCCGCTTTTCGTCCCCTTTTTTTGGTAAGCAACAGCACCGCTTAGTATCTCTCTCTTCCTCTCTCTCTATCCACTTAACTTTTTTGGTAAGCAACAGCACCGCTTAGTATCTCTCTCTTCCTCTCTCTCTCTATCCACCTAACTACCTATCTATCTGTCTATCTACAACAAAATAGATATATGTGTATATATATATGTATGCATGAACGTACGTACGTATGTATGTCTGTATGTATTGACTATGTGTATATATATAGAGAGAGAGAGAGACATACATACACATGTGTATAGATAAGTGTTAAGTGACTATGTGACCGAACTTCGACTGATTCTTAAAAATTGATGCCATGCTCAAGACTCCTATGAAGATCACTGCCAGGACTATTATCTTTACTACTGACGACGACGACGACTGCTACTACTACTACTACTACTACTACTACTACTACTACTACTACTACTGCCGCTCCTGATTATCATAACCGTCCTATTCTTCCTTTTTGCAGTGTCAAAAATGGCACTATCATCATTGCGTCTTGAGTATCATCTTTGTCATGGCTATCAGTCTTACCGTCACCAACGCAATTACAATCCACAACTGCATGGACACCAACAGTACCATCGATACCATCGGGATCATCTATAGTTCTCGTCACTACAATCACTGCCATCGGCCGTCATTATCATGGTTACGAGCATTACCACCGCATCATTAGCATGATTAACATCATTGCCGTCATCACCATCATCACATACAGGCTGTCATTCTGGTGTTCGGTGTACTTCGTTTTGATATTTCAATACAGTATTACTATCAGTAACATTCTCCTCGCTCCAGCGCACTCCTCCATAACCCAACCTCTTAGCGGCAGCCCTGGACTCCACCCCGGAAGAGCGCTTTTTGCCGGTACCGCCCAGTCGGTGCACGATTGAAATCCGGGCCGGGCCTTCTGGGCGGACGGCACGGAAAATTGCTATGAACCGATCCGAGCAGGTCTCAGCAGCAGTCGGGCTCTAGCACCTGGATGTCTTGAAGCTCAACATAACTACGACCACCCTCTGAGTTCTGAGACATGATGCCCTCCTCCCAACCTGAATCCAAGTGGCATTGCATCTTAAGGTGGGCGCTCCAAAAGGAGCACCAGCCGACCATCGAGATTCTCGCGGTTCGACTCCAGGGCCTCGGTGACCTCACATGCGGTGAGGTCAAAAACAACGATCAGACACAAAGTGCCCCCCATTCTCGGGTTTTGGTCATGTGAAGGAGTCTTCGGACAATTAGATGTCAGAGCAGCGGTCCCCGTGGCCTCGGCGGCGGAGCGGCCATCGCACTTCATCACCTGGCATTCCGCGTTTTCTTCTCAGCAACTCTCGGCTCTTCGATTCTGACAAAAGTCGCATTTGGCGCCTGCTGCATTGGCATCGCCTCCGCCCCCAGCATCTTATCCAGCCAGCCGGGCTCGGGGCCCGCCCCCACGAAGGACACGGCCCTCACAATGTCCCCCACCTCAACAGGTGTGCCCAAGCGCAAAGTGTCTCACTTCCGAAGCCCAGCTTGCTTAGACCGTTCTCAACCGGTGTTTCAATGCCCCTCCACGAACCGGAGAACGGTTTGCACGCAGCACCTGAATGCCCAACGTCTCAGCCTCGCTCTTGGGGTCAACCGAGAGCACCACGACGAGGTCGGCATCTATTCTTGGCACATCCAGGGGCCTGACGTGTGCTCTAAAGAACTGAATGGCCCGTCTGCGCACAGGGGAATACGCAGGATTGACTGCCTGACTGCACTTCGGGCAGTCGGAGGCAAAGACTACAGCTTGTCCCTGCAGAGCCTCTGGACTTCCACCAGACGGATGCCCAGCGGCAGGAAGGCCGTAAAGCACATGAGCCGTGCACCAGTAGGCTCGTAAAGCGGCGTCAGGTCTGAGCCCCACATCAGCTCGGAATTATCCTTCAGAGGCAGCGAGACTCGCACGTGCGCAGCGCCAGGCACCAGCGCAGGGCCATCCGTCTCGCGCACAGGCGGCAAGATGTCAATGGTCACAGGGTCACCAGCGAGGCGGCCCGAGGTTGGCACGAAGGACGGAGCGCTGGTCTTGCGCCGCGGGTTCTGCAGCAGTTGCAAAGCCTAGCAAATGCAAGTGGTGCAGGGCCCTTCACTCGCCCGGAGCATGGAGGTTTTTGTTCCAAGGTCCCGCGAGCCTCGTCCAGCTCGTCGTTGTAGCTCTTCAGCTTCTCGAAGGAGGCCTGCGTGTTGGGCAGCTCCTCCTTGAGGAGGCCAGAGAGCTCCTTCTTCAAAGAGCTGCGCCGGTCTTGGGCGTCGTCAGCCGCCCCGAGGCCCTCGAGATCCTACACGCGAACACACAGAGGTAGTGGGCATGCAGATGCGATGATTGCCAATGCTTGCCAATTGCCAGACTTCGGGCATCTGTCGCCTCGAACTTGCCCAGCAGCAGCTCTGAGCGGCTGCGCTCCGCCTCGGGACGCGGAAGGGAGGCTGGAGATGGGGACATGGGAAGCTGCATCACAAGGCCGCGCCTGGAGGGCCTCCTGCCACAGCGCCTCCCCCGAGGCCGAGGCCCCACCGTCAGCCTGACCGTGCCTTCTAAGCAGGCCCTGGCTGGTTTGGCTCCTCCATCGGGCAATCGCCCCGGCCCCGGCTAATCGCGCACCAACCAGGTTCTGGCTCTCGTGCCCGTGAGGCAGCACCGCCAGACAGGCAAAGAGAGCCCCCAAGCATTTCGAGGGATGCCAACAGCGAGGCCTCGCGCTTCGTGCGCGCTGCTTCATCCAGGGTGTGGGATGAGCTCAGAACTCTCTCGATGGGTGCAGGGTGCTGGGCTAAGCGACTGCTGTAGTCGGCAATACTGAAATTGGTGAGCTTTGTACATGCAAGTCTTGCCACATCTCAGAGACTTTGCATATCTTTGCATCTGCTCCAACAGATAGGACAGGAATTGCTGCGGCATGTTGTGAGATCTGACGCTCTCACATCAAAGCTCGAAAACCGCTGAGCTCGCGGCCGCTGGAGCCTGCGACTTTCACGTCAAAATTCGGGAGGTCTTAACGGCTTTCTTGAGGGTGTCAGGGCATCAGACATCCGAAGAACTGCCCCGAGCTTCCCTGCCAGTGCCTTGGTCGGTCTGGGCCGCTGTGCCTTCCAATCTTCGGGAGTTTCAATTCGGACGCTAAGAAGCTTTGGCAGCAAATCTGAAAACACGGACGCACGATGCAGTGGTGTCTCAGCAGCGCAGCAAAAACACAATTTGCGGTGCTTCTGTCGGAGGCGTGTAAAGAGCAACACCCATGTCAGAAGAAGAGCCATTTCCGAGATGGCATCAAGACTATGCCGAGGCATGCCTGCATTTGGCTTTCCGCGGCTCCACCTGGCAGATGCCGCTAGGCTTCCAGGGTAGGATTGGGACAGGGGGCTCCGGGAGAGGGCCCAGAATCCTAGAGTGCTCGAACTCTGGGTTGCCTCCCAGAGGGGAAGAAGGGCTCGAGCGGCGCTGCCCATCGAGCAGGTTCCTAAACCGTCTAGCCTACGGTTTAACGATGCTTACAATTGTCTGCATCTAGACGCCTGGGGGTTGAAATGTCCAAGTCTACGTGTTTAAAAATACATTCTGGCTGCTGTGCCAACCCAAAAGCGAGGGTTGCGTACATAGGTGTCGGGCAAGCGTCTGCTTTGGTGCCACACGGGCCGTCTCTACCCTACCCAACCTCCTCCAGATGGCTAAGGATCACTTGAATGGGGCTCCTCCTCGACAGATCTTGCTTGTCAGCCAACGAAATAGGCATGCGCGGCAGGATCCATTGTCCCAGCAATGCGGTCACAAGACAAAAGCAGATTGGGCAGGGAACAGAATTGCGAGCGCCAGTGGTCCTTCAGACATCACCAGATCATCACTACCTTTTGGAAAGCTTGCAGACACCATCCTCTCGCCTAGACTCGAGTGATTCTAGTGATTCTAGTCTGCCTAGCCGTTTTGGCAAGGCTAACTCGAGCATCGGATCGGAGGCTTGAGATCGCAGCACAGACTAAGAGCGCCTTCAGACTGTGCGACGACATGCGATACTACGCGCAAAGCCCTGCAGGTGAGGGCCCAGAAATTCGTTACTTTTGTCAAAGAGTTCGCGGCGAAAGGCTCATGTCCGCATCCTCCTCATCACTGGAGTATGCCAGCGTGCCGGAGTCCCCACCAAAGATCTCGTCCATTCGAACCTCGCTGGATCTGTCAGTCTCGACCACTGTGTGCGCACAAATCTCTTCGTAGTCCAACGTCGAGTTCTCCTTCAGCCAGCGCCCTACCAGGAACGGGACGGCTTCGGTCGTCACCACCTTCGATCTCGCTTCTCTCTGTGATGGCGCTGGGGTCACCTCCTCTAGCACAGGCTTCGGTGGTTCGGCATCGCCTTCTTGCGTAAAGTTGAAGCTTCGGAGCAGCTTCTCCTGGTCCTTCAGAACCTTGGCCAGCCACGCCCCGGAATTGAAACACCGCAAAAACGTCGCATGCAATCTTCCACTTCAGCAGATCCGTCTGACTCTAAGCCTCCAGCGAGACCCCTAGGCCCTAAGTTACTTCAATCCCAGAAGTCTGCAAGGAGCCGCATCCGGAGGATCTGGCGGCGGCATTGCTCGACCCAGTAAGGGGCCGCGGTGAGGCCGAACCAGCCTTGGCTTGGATCACCCACGAGAAGACATCCTCCATTTCGTTTTTCGGCTCCCTGGAAACCCTAAAGAGCACTGTAGAGCATTTGTAGTCAGAAAAATACGAACTGGAAAGTCATAATAAAAGTAATAGTATGGGAGTTTCCGAAAATAGGGGACCCTAATACAGTACCCTAAATAGTAGGATCCTTATTATAAGGACCCCAAAATACGGTACCCCTTATTTCGGAAACTCCGGCATAAATGACAATAATACTAGTATTAATAGTAATAATAACAATAATAGTAATAATAATACATAATAATAATGATAATAATAATAATAATAATAATAATAGTAGTAAAAATAGTAATAATGGTAATAATAGTAATAATAGTAATAATAGTAATAATAGTAATAATAGTAATAATAGTAACAATAGTAACAATAGTAACAGTATAGTAGTATAGTGATAGAGCGAAACCAAGGCTGCGAGCTAAGAAGCCAAGCCGTCAGCGGCGCGATGTGGGCCACCAGCGACTCACGAAGCGAAGACAGGCTGGCCACCTATGCACGTAAGACCCCCAAGAATAAGAACACAGGCTCGGGGTTTTTTGGGCTTCTAGGGTTTTTAGGTTTACAGGGTTTAGGAGTTTACAGTAGGGTTTGGGGCTTAACCTCGGACGAAATGGGACGCTCAAAGCTGCCCGATAAGGCCGGGCACCAGCGGAAGGTTTTCGAACCAGGCATCCATAATCACCAACCAGCTGGCCAGCTTCCAGAACACCTGCTCACAAACGAGACGGACGAATACATTGACATGGACAGATAAGTAGAAAGAAATAGCTACAAATTCGAAAATAGGCAGCAGTCTAAGGACATTTTTTCGGAATCAACTGGTACCTGAATCACAGGTGCTGAACTGAATATTCTTTCAAAAACCAAGTTGTACTCAGCCGACCGCGCGGAGCTTTTGCTCCAAGCAGTCTAGATCATCGTGCCATGGAATATGAGCTCTTGCGAATTCACGCCGACATGCCTGCTCACACTTCTTCAGTCTGGCTAGGAAGATATCCCTGTCCACTCGCTCTTGTAGTTCAGATCGACGACCATGGAAAAGTACCAGGTGCTTGCGACATTGCAAACATCTCTTTCTGATACTCTCGTCTGGGGACCTGACAGCCCAATACTCTGCCTCATCCACTGGACGCCCGCCGAACTTGTCTCGTAGATTTGGGTCAAACCCCTTCTGCAGCAGTTTCAGCACGCCTTCGCTGAAGCCATGTCGCGCTGCAACGTGCAGCGCAGACTTTCCCTCCCCGTCGCCACCCATCGCAGCTCCTTGTTCCAAGGCAGCATCCATCTCTCGCAAATTGCTGTGATGACAAGCTTTGAGCAGCTTCTTGTCCGCCCATGAGGCCACGCTGACTTGCCAGCTCTGATGAGGCTGGTCAGAAGCAGCGGGCGCTCCCTCAGCAGGCTCGGGTTCAGGGGCGGTCGCAGGCGTCCTTGCATTCCTCTGCTTCGCGTTGTAGGCGTCCCAATGCCTCCGGGCGTTGGGGATCTCTTTTTCCAACCAGATGTAGTCGCTCAAGCGGTGGCCATTTGCTTTAGCTACTGCCAGCAGGTCACGGCTAAAGCGTAGCTCCGGCTCCTCCAGGAGTGTCAGGGCAGTGCCTGTCTGGTCGCCCCTCCCGGTGCGTCCGATTCGGTGGACGTATTTGAGTAAAGCATTCCTTCCCCCTGATGGGTAGTCGTAGTTCACAACCCAAGCGCACGTGAAGAAGTCGAAGCCACGGGAGAGGACAGCAGTGGTAACCAGAACACGCGGCTGAGGACAACGGCCATCCCTGAACTTGTTGTAGGCCTCGTCGGAATATGTGACGCTTTGGGATCGATAGAAACCTTCGATGTCTCCATTGTCGACGACCCCGGAGTCCTGGAGGAGCAAAACCAATCGCAGCACGTTTTCTCGTGCATCATCACCGGCGTTTACGAAGACCATGACTTTCGTGACGGCTTTGATCGCATCAGGTGCCGGCTTCCCATCTCTGGAGCAGCAGATGAACGAATCGCTTTGATCAGCGCCTGATCTTTCGTCTCACCGTATTTCCACTGCAAGGGGTCTGTAGGATCCCCGCGTCCTGGGCTCCAGAATCGCTGAGTCACACGCTCGCAAGCTTTCAAATCTGTCCCTCCCACAGCGACGCGGAGGCAGCGGTCCAGCTTGATGTGCTTCAATTCATCCTTCCAGGTCGCAGTGAAGAGGAGTGTTTGCTTGTCCTTACGCGAGCCCTTCATAAGAATCTGTAGAGCGCTGATCCTGTCGCTGGCACTGTCGCGGTCTGCACGCAAGAGCATGTCGTCTGCTTCATCCACGACAAGATATGTTGTGCGGTCGATGTCATACTGTTCCGAGGAGAGGAGGTCCCCCGGGGAGGCACACAGAATGTCACATTTCCCTCGCTCCGGCCCTTCATCACCCTTGCTGCAACTCTGCACTTCCTTTGAGAAGCCGCAGTACGTGCACCATGTCTTAGCCTCCTGTGCGATTTGCTGGCAGAGCTCTCTCAAAGGCAACAGGATCAGGGCGATACAGCCATCGTGAGGCCGACGGGGTGGCTGCACCTCGACATGTGCCAGGAGAGGGAGCAAGTAGCAAAGTGTCTTCCCGCTGCCTGTTGGGGCGATGCCCACCAAGTCCCGGCCCTGCATTAGCAGAGGCCAGCCCTGCATCTGGATGGGCGTGGGCTCCCTGTATCTCCGTCGGAGCTGCTCTTGCACAGCATCTCCAAATGGCGCATACTCAAAGCTGAAGACTGGCGCTGGCAGGTCTTACAGACATTCTTGCTCAGTCTCCCAATCCACGACCTCAATGCCGTATTTTGCGCGCAGGAAGCTGCCGTTGCACGTGCTGTCTTCGATGAAGAACGGATTCTGAGAATAATGTGTAGCAACACGCTGCGGCAAAGCAATGCTGCAGCGATCCTTCTCAGGGAGCGATGTCCTTCGCTTCCCCTTCCTTTTGCCGTTTACGGCGGAGCACGGCTGCATGTGTCACATGTAGTTCCCACAGGCCGACATGCAGCGCATAGAGTCAAGTCTACGAGACGCGGGTCCAATCAATAACTGAATTTG